GGACGAGAAACAGAAAGAAGTACGAGGGGAGCACTGGTGAACTTCTACATAGATGGGTCGAAACTTGACGCAAGGGTTGGTGTAGAGGTCTTTTGCACGGATCTCTCTATTAATAATAGATTTAGTATTTTCCAGACAGATTTTGAGGTAATCAAGGCCTTCGGATCGCTCAAAGTGCGCTCTTGGCTTCTGGGAGGATGCCTGACCTCTCTTTTCGTTGCTTCTGATTATTTACTACGTACCATAGTCATGTTTCACGAAACTGCTCTGCGGATAAGTTGGCCAGTAAAGTCATCCACGAGTGGATCTCACCTATAAAAGATGGGATGGCGTTCCCTGTGGATAAGTTGTGAATTGCTCTTGGACAGTTGGGTCTTGAATCAGCTTAGCGAATTCTGGGCGAAAATAAGGACATATTCAAATGCACAACATTTCTGGCCGAAGGTGTATCGCAGACAGTGTAGGGACTTTTTTTTTGGCTTACAAAGCCGTAACTCTTAGTGATACCGAGGAACCGGATACGGGGAATCTGGCCCTTTAATGAACCGACCGGTCCGGCCCTCACAAAAACCGAAAACGGCTCTTAAGGAATTGAAACTCGAGTACAAAAAACCCGAAAAGCGGTTCCAAAAGAACCGAAGAACGATTCCACGATACCCGAAAAACGGTTTATAACAATTGAAAAATAGTTTATTTTATCGGATAAATGAAAGATTCTTCAGACGACAAAAAGTTGTTGATAATCAAGTAATTGAATTTATTATAAACTATTTTGATCACAAGAATCCATGATAGTGGTCTAACTGTTCCTGAGAAAATGTGAATAGCGCCGGCACAAACAAAAAGAAAAAACGTGGTGTGTGCTTTTAACAAGACCCACCTACCCACATGTATTTCGACCCGCTGAATCCGAATATGAGGCCCCTTTGACACTAGTCATTTGCGAAAATTGTGGAAAAAATGGCAACAAATGCGCAATTTGCGCGTCATTTACTTGAAATTTTGAGGGTGTACGAGTCAAAAGGACTTCAGAATTGGATTCACCGGATCGAAATACATGTCGGTACGTAGGTCTAGTTAAATGCCCCGTCCAATTTTTCTTGTGTGCCGGTGTAGTTTGTAAGTCTCATCATAGATCAGCGGCAATTCCTACGCTTGTAACTGATGATACCAGTTTTTTAAATGGCTTAAGAAATCTCTGACGCATATAATGGCAATAAGTATGTGTATCTCTTAAAAGGGGGAAATTTAAGTGACAATAGTTTCAGTCAATGTAAGTGTCTATTGGATAAGCTCTCACTCCCTTGCTTTTCGAAAAAATTTATATTTTCCGTATCGTTCATACCTAACTAGGTGCATTCATTACACAATTAATAGATACATACATAGTAGATGCATTTACACAACAGTCTACCAAGTCCTCCCCTCCTCCCGTAGTAAACTAAAGTAGTAAGAAGACGACGTCAACATACATACATATGTACATCGATTATAGGTGTGTAATTGATTAATGAGCATTTTTGTTTGCACTGCTTGCTGTCGGCTGTGTGGCTCCAATGCCTCCACCGAAAATTCGGTGGCAGCTAAGCGCCAAGCTGTTCCAAACAAAATAATGTCTACGCATGTAAGTAAATATGCACATACATATTTACAAAAATACGAGCACTAAACCAATGCGTTTATTTATTTATTTATTGCTTCAAA